AACCTCCTTTGAAACATCTCAAAGAATAAAATAGATTGACAGATGGAGAGAGGGATGGACAGATATGTGATAAAACGGGGAGAGAAATGCTAACTCATATGGGTTTTGTTCCTCTAATCTATTAATAAAGTGTATTACATTGACTGATTTCCATATGTTGAACCAACCTTGCCTTCCTAGGATAAACCCTACTTGGTCATGGTGTATAATCCTTCTTATATATTGCTGAATTTGGTTTGCTAGTATTTTGAGGATTTCTGCATCTACATTCAAAATGGATATTGGTCTATAGTTTTCTTGTGATGTCTTTGTCTGGTTTTATCTATTTTATCTCTTTTGCTAAAAATCTAGGTTCTTAACATCGTTACTTATTTGCTTTTTCCTGTAATATATAATTGCTTCAGAAAAGCAATTCCAATATCATTGCTAACAATCTGATTTTATAAAATTTGAGATTCCTTCTGTCCTTCACTTCTTTTTGTCTGTGGGGTATATTTCATTAGGGATATTAAGGATTTTCCCAGGGCCCAGAAGATGGGACCTGAGGACTAGGCAGGCCCAGGGGGAATGTCAAAACTGTCTACTTTGTCTCCAGTCAGAAGCCAGGTATGGTAGGCAGAGTAGCAGCCCAAAGATATCTAAGCCTTAATCCCCAGAAGCTATGAATATGTTATCTTGCATGGCAAAGGGACTTTGCAGATGTTGTTAAGGTTAAGAACCTTGAGATGAGTTTGAGAAGCCTGGATTACCCAAGTAGGTCCAATGAAACCACAAGTGTCCTTAAAGGTAGAGAACCTTTCTGGCTGGCTCAGAGAGATGAGAAGGAAGAGTAGAGAAGTGAAGTGTGAGAGGGACTCAACTCACTATTGCTGGCTTTGAAGATGGAGGAAGGGGGTCATAAGCCAAGGAAAGTGGGCAGCTTTAGAATCTGAGAATGCTCCTCAGTTGATGGTCAACAGGAAAACAGAGTTTCACTTTTGGTAACCAGTCTGCCAATAACCCAGATAAGCAAGATTCCCCAGGGCCCTCAGAAGGGAATGAAGCCTGGCTAACACCTTGATTTTAGCCCATGTTGGACTTCTGACTTGCAGAACGGTTAAGAATAACTTTGTGTTGGGGTGCCTGAGTGGCTCAGTCGTTAAGCGTCTGCCTTCGGCTCAGGTCATGATCCCAGTGTCCTGGGATCAAGCCCCACATCGGGCGCCCCGCTCAGCGGGAGGCCTGCTTTTCCCTCTCCCACTCCCCCTGCTTGTGTTCCTGCTCTCACTGTGTCTCTCTCTGTCAAATAAAAAAAAAAAATCTTAAAAAAAAAAAAAAAAGAATAACTTTGTGTTGTTTAAACTGCTAAATTTATGGTAATCCGCCAAGGCAGCTGCAGAAAACTCATACACGAAAGTCATCGTTGATACCCTTTGCCCAGTCTGTAAACATT